CAGGCGCTGGGCGTGTGCGATCACGCGGGCGTGCGCTGCGGGTTGCCTGGGCACACGAGGAATGGCGCGCGCGTTGCAAGTGGACGCTGGGATCTCGGGCAGACGTCGACTGGCAGCGGGTGCGGACAGCGTGCAAGCGGGCGTCGCTGGGAGCACGCGGGTGTCGTTGGGCGTTGCTGCTAGGAGCTGGAACCGCGTCTGGCTGGGCGCGACTGCGGGTGGTGGCTCGCGGTTGCGATCGGCTGGACACGGACGGCTTCCGACGGCGATGGGCATTTTCCGGCGACTCCTCACGGCGGCGGTAAGGTGATGATGATGACCGAAATATAATATATAAAAGGCTCAATAATATTGTACCAAAAAGCCTTCTAATGGATTACCTAATCACCTACTTCGATTAAACTCGGTGGAGCATTTAATCGAATCTCCCTAACTCTCGAACGATGTAATTTATCGCGCGTATGTAAGAGAAAATCGGCCAACTCACATCATCTACAAGAGGTTGGGACTTGGTGTATCTATAGGCTCCATCAGGGACCTTAAGGAGGTGCTAAATATGGGCTTATCCCATTAGCCCTAGGAATCCTAATTCTACTCCAATACTAATTCAATGTAGGAAGGAGATCTCCTACTAATCTAACTCTGTTAGAAGACTCCTTAGTCTCCTAACACTAGAGAAGACCCTAGTAGGAATACCTTTCCTAATTAAATTAATAATCATGGAATAAAATTTATTCCTAATTTAGGAAACCTAATCTTAATCCAATTAATAATCTGATATAGGAAATATATCTCCGACTAATCTTCATCTTCTAGAAGACTCCTTAGTCTCCTAATCCCAAGAGAAGATTCTAGTAGGAATATTATTTTCCTAATTAAATTAATTAATATGGAATAAAATTAATTCCTATTTAATGGAATTAAATAATAAAACATCCCACTAGAGTAATATTATTGCTCTCCCCATTTAGCCACTATTTTATCAATAAAATCGACCCTCCATGATTAAATAATATTAATCTGATTGATCGATTTACCTTACTATGTTTAATATATAACGTCCGTTGATTAATTAAATTACTGATAAAATAATTAATCAACTTCTTATTCATTTCCGAAATTAGTACCACTCAGAACCTTAACCATTATGTCAGACAATCGTCTAGCTGCAGGGTTTAACTTAATGTACATTCCTGAGCTCATTTCGAGGACGTCATCAATCCAACGCACTGGAACATAGTGACCATAAATAATTTATAATAGCACATCATATAATTATCCTT